GGACTCATGACCACACAAGATCTGACAAGATGAAGCAAAAGAAAAAAGGAATTTTCTGGCTGACGTTTGTAATTTTGGCGCCATGTTAATTTCTTTGAAATGAATAGTAAACAAAGAATATGAAGACTAAGCACAAAAAAAATCCAAGCAAATTTTTAGCGCATGTTTGTACTAACCAATTTATTATTTTTGTACGTGTTTTTGAAACCATTTACCACGCACTTCACTTTAATTATATTTAAAAAAAAAAAATTATTAAAAATCACTGAAATAAACCATCGACAAAATACACATAAAGAAAGAAATGTAAAAAAACAGGGTAATTATCTAGGTGGGCTTCCAACCTTTAAAATTGATCATAATTTAGGAGAGGGGGTACCATTAGACGCGTCTGGACTCCAGTAACAGGATTCCGAAAGCGGAAACTAACTTTTTTTACCCGATCAAACGTTATTGAGAAAAAGCTTTTTCACAATAGCACCTTTTTTATTCACTTAATACACACACACAAACGCACAAATCGCCCATATTTCACCACACATACAACAACCATACTTCATTTTAGCCACATATGTCAAAATATCGCTAAATACATCACCTATATATTTTGTTTATTATTATGTAAACAATTTTGGCGTGCTCAACGCAAAATTCACATGCTGATGTGCGGTATTGCCACTCTCTAGCACTCCAAATTAACGCAATTACCCAACGTCTACACCTACCAACTATTTCCTTTAAGAATGCGGTCTGTAATGCAATGCAACCTTGTTTCAGAATTTGAAATTGGTATGGGGTGGCATTACGATTATCACAAATTACACTATTATTTTTTTCGATTTTATTAAAAATTTTCGCCTGCGGCGCTTTTTTTAACTGTTTACTTATTTCCACAATTAATTATCCCATATAACCGTCTGTACTCCGTGTAAACATATTCAATATTTATTCCATTCAGATTGAGTGGCAACACCGCACATCAGGAGGTGAATTTTGCGTTGAGCATACCAAAAATCAAGGCACATAAATACAGGTAGAAGCCAAAATGACGTTGCTCTCATGAGAACCAAACCTTTAAACTTCAACTTGTTTTTCTTTTATTTCCTATATTTCGTTACGCTTTGAATGTCATATCGGTTTTTTTTTTTTGAATGTTCGTTAATAACAAATTTTAATTAACATTTGAATTTTTGTAGTGTTGTGCAGTTTATACTTAATGTATGTGTTAAAAATGCAACACCGAAGCGTTGTTTTTTATGTGGTGTTAAATATAAAGCAGATACCATTTAACGTGCCTCAATGTCCTTCGCGTAAAGAGCGTTGCGAAAGCAGCTGTGGGCCAGAGCTGCAGCGAAATGCCCTGCTGTGCGTTAAACATTTTAAAGCAGCAGATTTCATAAATGCACCGGGAGGTACAGGAAAGGCACGTTTGATGCCAAGTGCTGTTCCTATGACCCTTATGCCGGAAAGTCCCTCCAACAACACTGCAACTCATAAATTAAAAACATAAAACAACATACAAATTAACAAATTTTAACTAAAAAAATAAATAAATAGAAACAAAACTTCAAATTTACTCAAAAACGTCAACCAGCGAAATGTAATTTTTTATTTTTCCTTACACACGCTCATTTTTATTTTTACTCTCCCGAAAACTTTGACTTTTGTAGGTTCGATGTCAATTTGGCTTCTACCTGTTTTTATTGTACCATGACCAAAATTGTTTACATTTTAATTAACAAAATATATAAGTTTTTAGTGGTATATTTAGCGATATTTTGACATATGTGGCTAAAATGAAGTATTGTTGTTGTATGTATAGTGAAATATGGGCATTTTGTGCGTTTGTGGGAGTGTAGTAAGTGAATAAAAAGAGTGCTATTGTGGAAAAGTTTTTTGTTAATAACTTTTTATCGGGTAAAATCCCAGATTCAGATTCTTGTCTAATGGTACCCCCTTTCCAAAATTTTGACCAATTTTGGGGGTTGAAAGCCCACCTAGATAATTACCCAAAACAGAAATAGCAAACTTCAAAATTACGCAAAATTACCAACGTCACGCACTTTTTTTCAAATGCTATTACAAATTTCTGCTTCTCAAACGGTCAGTTCTGCTCTAATTGGTTCATGGAGTGGACTTCGAAAAAGTCTGATTTGACGGCAACAGAGCGTCGCTTGGGTAAAAGATTGTCGTAAGCGCCATTTTGACGATTTTAAGTTCTAGATGCAGTTATATATTTTGAAATAAGGTATTTCGATCGGTGTTATTTATTTTTTATTTTCAGATATCTCCTTTAGTTTCCGAGATATTGACTACAATTTTTTCGATAACTTAGTAAAAATTTAATTAGTGATGCAGCCATATTAAACTAACCAATATCTTAAAAATGGCCTTCTCTCCTTTAATTTCCGAGATATTGAGTAAAAAGTGTTGCTAATTTGGTAAAAATTTTGATCACATTTTAGTTGCGTTCGCGTAGCTGTTAATTGTTCATGTTTAACCAAAACTTTCAGGTTTTTGCGTTCGCGTACGCAAAAAACTTGCAAAGGAGGGAAAATTAAGAGAGCAAAGTAACATTTCATTTTGAGGGGAAGCTGCTGGTTTCTGCTGGAAATAGGTTTGTTCGTCGAAAATCCAGCAAGAATTATCCAACACTCAAAATATCAGAGAGTAAGAAAAAATTTTCCCAAATTCTCTCTCATGTTGAGAAACTTGCAAATTTCTGCACGAACGCAAATTTGCAGGAATTTGCAAGTTTCCCTGCCAGCTGGCGTCCACGGTTGCATTTCAAACATTAAAATTTTTATAGAATTTTTAAAATTCTTTCGGATGGCCAAAAACAGGATATACATGTATATTTCTTGTTGTTCTGACTTCCTTTAACATACATTTCAATTTCTTCATTGTACTAGCTGTCGGGTTTCTTAAATCGACTCTGGTTGCAATTGCATTCCGATAGCGAATACCATTTTTTTCAGCCGAATTAAGTTCAAATCATTGGAATAAACTAAATTAATTATATCAACAATTATTTCCTTTCGTTTTTCAATAAAAAAATCGCTCGTGTTTATAAATTTTTAAATTTAACGAACTAATTTATTCAAATTATTGTAGACAAAAATGCAACCATGCGCCACAACCACATGTTTTTCGTGTTTGCAAATTCTTGCTGGCAAAATTTTTTCCAGCAAGAATTTGCAACATCTCTCCAAGAGAACTATAACTTTGCTCTCACAATTTTTGAGTGTTGGATAATTTTTTGGTCTGCACGAACGCGATTTGGGCAAAAATCGTGATAATTCGTACAAATTCGTACAAATTTTTTGCTCGACGAACAAACCTAATATTTTTGCCAACAGGAAAACAGCTGATCAAAAACAGCTGGTTTGAATTTACGCAAATCACAAAATTGAATTTGATGGCTTGGAAGTTAAAAAATACAAAATGCGACTAATTAACCTTGTAAAAGTAGTTATTTGTTTAATCAATAAACTGTGTCAGGATACCGCTTTGTGATGAGTTTTCGTACGTTTTAAACATTACACTTTTGAATGTAAACAAAAATTATATCAGCTGTTCGTCCAACTTGCAAGTTTCTGCAAATTTTCTGTTCGCGTACTGTTTTGGATATTTTTCTCTTGTGAGAGGACTGGTGACATTTCGCCGGAATTTTGCTGTTGCTTGGTTTTTACTGGAGATTTTAAAGCTGTGACAGACAGCAAAGCTTATGCATATAATCTGGCACACATATGCACATAATAATTTTGACCTAACAGACGGCAGTTATGTGGATAAACGAGCCGCAAGGTCGTGGGTTCGAGTCCCACGGCCAATTGAATTTTCATTTATTTCGTTTTCATTCTTTTTTTTTATAAATTCTATATTTTTTTACGTTGCTTTCAGTTAGTTGTTGTTGACTTTTTATTAAAATTCAACTCTAAAAATTTTAAATAACTAATAGTAAAATGAAACATGTGATATAAGATAAAGTAAATAAAAACAAAATAAGGTAAAACTAAATATATAGATCAAATAAAATAAAAAATATATAAAATAAATAATAAAAACAAAAAAAAAATTCGCAATCGCTCCAACCGAGGATCGAACCTGGCAGCTATAGGCTTGTAGCCCGTAACTCGCGCGCTTTGTTTGCTTACTTGTGCAAAAGAAAAACAGCTGGCCGTTTTTACCATTGTTGTCAACGAAAACTACCCGGATCCGAGTTCGGTGAGCTGAGTATAACGGTATACTTCTTTTTTTGGGCAAACAACAACAACAAAAATTATCAAAGGTTAAATTTCAAAATAAGCAATTTTTGAAATCAAGATTTCTTAAAAACGGATGGATGGATCGGTAATTCTCTAGGGTGGGGTAACAACCCCTAAAAAAGGTGCGGAAAAGTCGGGAGGGGTACCAAACGACGCGTTTCGGCCCCACTAATAACAATCCGGAGGGGGGGGGATTATATTATTAACCATTTAAAAGTTATGAACAAAAAACTTTTGTTAAATTTCGTTGTTTTCTATGAGCAATTACCACGTCACAAATGCACTAAATCACCAGTTTCCACTTTTAAAACACTACTAAACCGTTTCCGGTTATTATTTTATGCAAACCAAATCATTTATTCACTTTTATTTTATATATTTCGTTAATAAAACAGAGTAAACAAACTTTGCGCCTGCTAAAATTATTATAACCTCAAATCGCTGGTATTGCCACTTTATTTCACATTTCATTTGCGCTATTATACTCAGTTTACACTATACACTTCTTCTTCTTCTTCTTTTTACTTTCATCTAAATAAGATATTGTAACCAAAATATAATAGCAAATTTCGCTATACAATCGCGCGATTTTTTATTAAAAATTTTCATTATTTATCGAAGTATTGATTTTTATGGAAAAAGCGACGCAGGCGAAAATTTTTAATAAAAAATCGGCCCTGTTGTTGTTGGTTCATGAACGACTTCATGTGTTGCCAAGTGACAATGGAAAGTTCGAAAAATACGAAAAGGAAACAAAACAAAACGAAACTCGAAAAGGAAAGCCTGCAATAAAACCTGAAACGCGCTAAATGGTACACAGGGCAAATTGTAAAAATCACTGTTGTTGTGTACGTGCACGTGGGGGGCGTGAAGTTGTTCCAGGATTTTGCTAACTGCCAAATAGTAGGGGAAGAATAGTAGCATATCTGGTGGATTTTTATTCAAAATGGGAAAAACTAGAAGAAACCGTGTGCGGCATATAGCCAATTCCAATCCATTGGGGATAGCTAGCATTAATGATTTGTTGAATGGTGATGAAGATTCAATGGATAATGGATTAGGCCCAGTGGATTCAATGCGGGAGCAACTACTGACTGCCAATGTTGAGGAAAAACTAAATGCTTTACAATCACTGGCGGTGTTGGTGCAGTCTGGCAAAAAGGACAAACTGGCGGCAATTTGCGAAAGCGACATTATACGCATAACAGCACCTTACCTGTACGATCGTGATCAACCTTTGCGGAATGCAGCTGCAGGAGCTCTTCGTAACTTCACTGTCTGTGTGCCAGTAAGTAATGGTTTCTTGTATGTCTACAGATAATTTTGTAATGGTTCTACCCTTTATAGGAAGTATGCGACATCTTTGTTGAACAGGACGTGCTTACACCACTTTTAGCGCTACTCGGCGAATACGCACAAGATGACGATTGGGTACCTAGTTTTGACAATGCAATGGGCGGTCAATTAGATATACGTTCTGATACATTTCTGCAAGCCATAAATCTCTTATGGAACTTGTGTGAGAGTTCGATGGCGGCGCTGGAATCCTTTAATCAAACACAATTAATTGGAGGTCTCATTCGCTGTCTAGATCATACTGTTTTTGGTTTAGACATAGCAATATCAGTAGCACAGTGCATGTTGGTTGTCTCAGAAAGCAACGCAAGAGTTTGGAATGCACTGACACAGCATATAAAAGCATTGCTAAGTTTGCTGGAAATAACTGGCGGATTTGGACACCATTATCTGCGCAGTTTGGGAGCAGGTTTTCGACAATTTTTAAGTATGTTCATGTAAACTAAGTTATAATCGGGCGCTCTTTTTAGGTATTCTATCAAATGTACCAGCCTTAGCAGCAGCATACCCCATCAACATTCTGAATTGCTTAGCACAAACTTTGGCTGTGGATCAACAAGAGGCTTTGTCAAATGTGCTGAATGCACGCGTTAATAACGAACGCAATGAATGCATACCAGTGCTGGATATTAATATGGAAACCGAAGAGGGTAGGGGAAAAACCCTAAAATGAAAATTAATAAAAGTAATTAAATAATCGCATTTATTGTAGAAGAGACAGAAGAGGCGGCAGCTTTGCGTAGGCGGCGACAGGAACTGCCAACACCAGCAGAAATTGCGATCAAAGAGGTTGGAAATCTGTTGGATGCTCATCGTGTCGCCGCGGAAATTATCACAAATTTAGTGTCAAGTGATGACGAAGGTAAAAAAGAGAAGAATTTGATTTGAGAATACAGTTATAATAGTTAGATTGCCTGCAGACATGAGTTTAGTTGCTTCAGTGGGCGAAAGCTGGAGCGGTTGTATTATGGTTCTATGCGGCCAGGCCATTACAAGTAAAACAATTGCCTTCTATGTAAAACATGTTTAGTGAATTTGATAATCCTTCAGATAGGCTCTAGACTACTAAACATACTGGCCTAATAAAGAAATTAGACCCAAGCTTTAACATTCAAACAGCACTTTATTCTTACACATATGTGTATATGTTCTTAATTGAATTTTATTCCAACAGAGTGGGTTGATTCAGATGGCGAAGATGCATCAGAAGGTGAAGGTGTTGTAGATTGTGAAATAGAGAATGCAAATAGCAATGGTGACATACAAGATGGCGATAAGCTTCCCGCAGAATTAGTGGAAATGATAAAATCATTAGGAATTGTGCAAAAGGTAAACAAAGCAAAACAAAAAACGCAACATTTAATTAAAAACACTATAAATATTAATTGTCTATTAATTTTTAAACCAAAGCTTTGGCAAAAAGCGCAAGTTTTACCAGATAATGTTGCGCAATCCTTGCGGGAAGTAAACTTAGGTTTAGTAATGAAGTAAGTATACAAGTGGCAATACATTGATATGTTTTATCATTGACATACCCTTCCTAAACTGCTCATTTGCAGGGCGAAGAATTTGCGTATTTCATCATTACTTTGCCTGCAAAATTTGTGCAATGCATTGAGTCCTAACGAGATGGGCGGTGCCAAGGCTATTTACGATGTCTGGGTAGAACTTGGTCAGCAAGTATTCAAGGGAGCGCAAGATGTTGCTGTTATGGAGCCCGCGACTTCGCTAATGCGAGCGGCTTTAGAACGTTTAAAAACAAATAAAGAACTTTTCAATCAAATGGCAGAAAATGACTTGGAGGTATACGAGTTTGAAAACATAAATTTTATAATTTTTGTAAATTTTGTTACCTTGCAGTTGATCTTCAATGGCGTAAAAAATTGCAGTGTAGCTGAAATACGTGCGAATTGGTTACGCATGTTGGGCACATTGGGTTGTCTGCTGCCTGAAACATTAGTGCGCATTATAATCACCTTTATTATAGAAGCATGCGCTGAGGTTGAATTATTATTTAATTTTTTTTCGGGTCGGTGTAATTGTTTTTTGCTTGCGTTTAGGAAGAAGATGTTTGGACAATTTCCGAGGCGCTTGACGCTTTAATGGATATGTTTGCCGATAACGATTGGCCAAAAATGATTGTTGAGTTGAATTTACCCGAAGTGTTGAAAAAGTTAGAGAAAATGTTTAAAAATAAGGTACATATTTCAAAATGACTCAGTTTCTTTAGGCCTTATGTATGAAATAAATCGCTATATAATTCTAGATGCGTCAGCAGCGTCGTGAACTGAAAGATCGTTATCCAGCTGTGCAGACGGTGCGCATAAATTTGACGCGTTTCATTCGATATATGGAGACAGAGGCGGACAAGTACGTGATCAATTCATAAGATTTGAGAAATAAATTACTTTTAAAACTGCATTTAAAGTAATGCAAATTTCGGCCCCATACTATGTAAATAGATATCTACATTTTTTATTTGACAAAAAGAAAATTCTATAACTAGAATTTGAAACCAATGTTAGTACCTTTATTATTCGAATAGGGTGTTATGTGATTCAATGAATACCATTTGAGAACTGTAATACAGCCTGTCGGATTCAGTGTATGGCGTACGAATGGCTAAACTTGATCATTGAAATTGCCACGCTAGCATCCCAATAGAAATTTCTTGCTCAGCACGATGTTTTACTCCTTAACTGTGAGCATTTGTGAATGATATTTGGGAAACATGAAAGGCATTCCATTGTTGTTTTTGTAACAGCATACCAATTCCACAGAGGGTTTTTGAGGAATCAGCTGGAGTCCTTGGCTAAATATACTAGCGTAGAGCGGCATTCAAGAAAGGAATTAGATCTTGAGTCTTCCTCGACTGTGTCCTACTAGTCCCCGGCCATCACTCAGGTGGAACACACTTTAGAAACTACTCGACTAATCGCCTTTTATGTGGCTAACAACGTGTTTTTCTCTCCTGCGAAGGGCGACGATTGCGGTTTTGGTGGCAGAAGAATAAGCTGCCGGTCTGCTAAGGTTGGATTTATAATGACATCGACCCGTATGCCTAAGTTGACCTTGACCTCCTTCAACCAGGTGGTAAAAGGTATTACTATTGATTTCATAGTTGAAAGGGTTAGGTTATTAAGGGATAACAATTTTCTTCGAAAGATAAGTCATGTAGGTCAGTGTCCGATGCCAAAATCGAACATTTATCGTCGTATAAGACTAAGGAAATGCCCTTCATGGTTTTTGCTACTGGTTGTAGGGGAAGTACCAGGAAATATGGCATTACTGCTCCTACCCAGCCTGACGAAACATCTCTAACTGTCGGAAGACCAGTATGGATACCGAAAAATGCACAGCACCACTACTGCATTAAACGCCATTACCACACAGATAAGGACCTTTCGAAGGCATTCGACATGCAATCCTTTGCCAAGAGGTCCAGGACTCGGCGCTTTAAGTTACGACGAAACGGTTGTATGCACGTCAACTATCAGTTGGAATTCAGTAACGCACATTAACCAGCACATGGAAAAACCCCGTCTTCCTATAGTTGGAGTTAACTTGGTGAGCTACGCTGATGGTTGAGCTAGTAGTAGATGACGCCAGCCATTGTTAGTCACCCTAAGAACCTGGGGCTCACGTTTGACAGCCTTTTTAACGGTCGGTGGAGTATCACGCAATGTAGAAATCTACAAGATATAGGCGGTGCACAACACGATCTCGAAGAAATTCTTAGTATAATGCTACCACTGGGACCACCCCAACAACGATCTGGTTTGAAACGATCCACTGCACGCGTGAGTTGGTACCTGCACGTCTGGAGAACATACATCGAGCCGCATGTAGACCATACGTTCGACGCAGCGCGACACAGACGGGCACTCAACAACCTGCACAGCGATGCAGTCAGGACGAGCCTCACCCGTAAGGACAATATCGTCTTAGAAAGCCCCTACCCGTCAATATTGAAGAAATAAAACTGCCGAGAGAGACCAAATGCACCTTAGCACACCTCCGTTCTGGGTGGTACCATAGTCTGAACAGCCGGCTGAACTAAGAAGTGGCCAGCATGCGGGCAAGGTCCACACAACACCTAATAACTTTTCGTATGCAAATGCAAACCGAGCGACAAACGGCACAACTTCTAGTGGCGAAAGAGGCTTAGAAATCGACAAATAGATGGTGTGCGTGGATCTTTTTCTCACAAGTCTTTTCCAGGTCTAAAGCCACACTGATAAGGCCCAATCAGTTGGTTAACGGTGGGCTTGAGCCCATCACACAATACGCTTATTAAGGTCTTGTAACCTATGCTTAGAAGGCTGCTCACGTATTAATAGGCGCGTATGGTGGGGTCGTATTTCTTGTGTAGTAGTGGAAAAGTGTTCACTTCATAATTCAAGTACGTGCTGGACATCAGTCACCAGGTCACCATGGTTCTTACAGGAGAAGCGTTATCGGACGTTTTTCCAGTGGGCAGTATTTCAAGCCGCTTTCCTCTTAAACGTCGCCCTTCCCTCTTCAGCTCCCTATATCGGCCCACACATAGCTCACGTTGGGTCCGATCGTAGGGTGACCCTGTTGGAGGCATCTTTTATTCTCTGCAGCTTCCCAGTAGATAATTTTAGGAGTTAAAAGCCCTTAAGTCAAGAGACCTTCCACTATACATTCCTTTCTCCTTTCTTTTTTTTATGGAGTGGCACAAATTAGGGGCTTCTTCTTTTGCTTCTTCTAAAGTTGCTTCTTTAATTTATAAAAATCCTTCATTCCCATATTTAAATTCTTTTTTTGTAGATAGGCTCCTCATATGTTTCCTGCAGAAAAAAATATAAATTGATAAAAAATAATACACTTGTAGTTAGCTTTTTTGTGGGATTTCTATAAAGTATATAACTTGCACTACAGAAACCTAACTTGAAACTAGTTGTCGTCAAGTAATGCAGGACTCACGCAGACGTGACAACTTTACTTTGAATACACTTTTTTCTGCACTTCACAAATACTTTTTCGAACTTAGGACAAATAACATGAAGATCGAAATTTTATATAATCATTTTGAAGAACTTCATATGTGGAACCACCTATGTAATGTTAAATAAATAAACAAGTTAAAAAAAATAGTGTTTCTTATTGACAGTTTATGTCCACAAGTAGTTAGTTACAAGTTAGTATAACTATTTCGCGGCCAATGCCATAGAAGTATACAGAAAATATACAGATATTAGTGACCCTTAGTTCCATCTTAATCAACTTCAAGTTAACTTATAGTTAAATACATTTTCAGGTCTGTCTGTATCTGTCTGTGTGCGTAATTTCATTGAAATGCATTAAGCCGATTTAGCGTGCAAGAGCAATAAACATACTCACAAACTAAGTCACAAACTTGCAAATTTATGTATTAGTTAGTAGGATGTACTAAAAAAACAAATAATTGTAATATAATGCATATTTTTGTATTTCTTCTTATAAGAATTTATTAGCACAACTTTTAATTATACCATACAACTCGTCGTTTAAAGTACAAAACCGCGTATCGTCATTCTGCAAAACCGCGTAACGGACATTGGCTGCCAAAAATTGGATTTGCTCACACAAGCTCTTGGCTCAATCCTTATTCATTCGTCCTGAAATATACTAGCCAGAAATGCGATTGCTTTATAAAACAGAGAACCATTTTGAAAAATGGTAGAAAATGTAGAAAATAATTTCTACAACTTCACATACGCGGTTTTGCATTTTGCTGATACGCGGTTTTGCATTTTGTTGATACGCGGTTTTGCACTTTAAAAGACGAACTGATTTGATTATAAAACATTGGTATTTAGTCTAATATCTAAAAAACTGCAAACTTTTACAATTTGATTAAGTTCGAAGCACGATATACATATTTCTTATGTTTAAGGTAAATTTTATTTAGTTAATTTAATTTTATTGCCAGCTTGGCAGCTGCACCATTTCGTAGGTGATTTGAGCGGGACCACGCTGAAGTATATTTTGGTATGTATTTTAGATCCAGCTCACAAATAATCGAGTATGCGGGTGTACTTTATTTACTACATACAGGCATTGGTAAGATCTCTTTGGTGTAGGAATTAATTAAATTTATTAAAACAATGCGAAATATAATTTAAATTTAAATGTATGCACATAATAGTTACCAAAAAAAAAAATAAACGTATGTACATTAGAGTGGTCCAAAAAAATAAAGTCGGAGTTTTAATGCCGGCACACCCTAGGATTGATCTATATCGAAAAAAATATACCCCAATTTTTTTTTATTATTGAAATCAAAAAATATTTAGAGAGTGCTCAAAGCGCTCAAAGTTTTCCATGTATTTTATATAGAGAAAAAAACATCTTTTCGTAGAAATAGTGTAGAATTCTTGAAAATCAATATTTTTCGATCGGAAAACTTTACTTATCTTCAGGAGACTCCCAGTAATAATACCCAATTGCTCTTTTAACAATTTTTTCATGGTAACTATTTTTTATAGGTCCTCCAAAGCCCTTAGAAAATGCAATGGGGGGACCAATAAAATATCTTTTATCATAAAAAAATGGTTAAATAAACAATTGGCTATTAATACTGGAAGTCTCCTGAAGAGAACCACAGTTTTCCGGTCGAAAAATATTGATTTTCAAGAGTTTTATACCATTTCTACGGAAAATTGTGTTTTCTCCATATAAAATACATGGAAAACTTTGTGCGCTTTGAGCACTCCCTAAATATTTTTTGATTTCAAAATAAAAAAATATGGGTATATTTTTTTTTTCGGTATATAACATTAACGGCATTAAAAAACCGACCTTATTTTTTTACATATATTTTTGGACTACTTTAATGTACATACATACATACCTACGAGTAAAGTAGAGTGAAACAACAAGTACAAAAATAAAATGAATAGAAATTTGGAGCACTCTTATGTAATATTGCAATAACTTGGAGTATGCACTCACTTAGCGAGGTACACTCGTTCGATATCGTATAAATGTTTGAAGATATTTTTATTTATTTGCGTAGATGTGTACCACATAAACAAAATTATAAAACGAATATGCACTTTCCAGCACCTGCAGGTAATTTTGCCTGCCACTTTCCAAAACTGCAGAAGTTAGTTTAGTAAATAAGCAAAGTTGCGGGTAAAAAATATAAATGTACCTAAAAATACGCAATACTGAAAATATAAACATTTTAAACATACATACATTTGCTAATACTCTTGCGATCATCAACGAAATAGCAGTGGTAGCGATAAATTATTATTTTTATATCTTTCACGAACATAATGGTGTTATAATTTTGGAGAGAGATAAACCCATAAAAAAGTTGAACAAAATGATCAGAACGTCGAGCTGAGTCGATTTAGCCATGTGCATGACAGCTCTTTGTCTGTTTGTTTGAAAACACATAACAGTTTTCGGGATATCCGACTGAAATTTCGGAAGCGGGTGTTTTTTTGTAATGTATTATTCATTTGCAGCACCGGAAAGTCGGATCAAAACAACAACATATAGCTCCCATGCAACTGATTGTTCCGATATTAGATTTTGCGTTAGGCAGCTAAGAACGTGAAATTTTGCACTGTTTTCACTTATCACCAACATAGAGTTTACAGCGAAAATTCATCAAGATCGGACTACTATAAATCATAGCTACCATATAATTGATTGTTCAGATCAGTTCAGATATGTGGTTTTGCTTTATAACTCATTCATTTTGAATGATAAATCAAACAAAGTACACTGAGAAAACCTTTAAGATTGGTGTTCTATAAAGTATATCTCCTAAAAAAACTGATTGTTCAGATATGGGTTTTTAAGATAAAGCTCCTCATTTAAATGGTTAAGGATCTGGCTTAACTCTCAAGCCTGCTCAAATACTTTTTTTTTGGAATCCTTTTCTCAATTACATCAAACCACTTCAGAAAAACGAAGGTAGCTGGCACCATCCGCGGACCGCTAACCCGGGATTTGACGCCACAAAATACTGTTTTGCACTAGGGATAAAAATTAAATGTTTAAACTTTAAAGTAAATATGTGTTTTCATGTGTATACATTTCTGATAGTGGGTGGAGAACCTTTTGATACCATATCTACTTTTAGATTCACTTTAAACAATCTTCGCTCTTAGAAATGACCTTGGAAGGATTCTCTCCGAGCCGTTCAAGACAAAACCGTGTTTCAGCCTATATTTAAGCTTTTTCACAAAGAAGGGAGGCTTTTAGACAAGTTGCCCACGCTAGAAAATGCAATAAAATGCCTATCAAAATAGGAAAGAATTTCCCGACAAGTTCTTTGGCTAGGTTCCAAATGTGTTTGCTTTTACCGAATATAAATCGCTCTTCANTTAAAATGCTAGATTTCCTGCAAATGCATTAGAATTTACGAAAGGAATTTCACTTCTAATTGACTGCTTTGCGTACTTTTCTACTACCATTTTCGAAACAAGGGATTGCATTCTTGCCCTTTCTCTGTCCTTCGTAAATGCAACCTTTTGTAAGGGAGTGTCAAACCGCAGCTGTCAATAATTATCTAACCTTGTATTATTGAATCATGCAGCGTACAACATAACTCAGTACAATTGTATTCACATTTGGATCACAATTTCGCAAGTTTCTTCCACCTTCCTCTTCTTCCTTCGAAATTCTTTTTACTCTCTCATCCTCAGTATTTGATGACGTCTAGCCCAATTGCTTTCAGCTGGATTGGCACCAGGGATGAAAAATGGAAATTTCAGATTGTACCTAATATCTCTAATCTAATCTATCTAATATCTAAATGTACCTAAATGAGACGGATTGTACCTAAAAAAAGTTACATCATTCATTTGTAGTTTTTTTTATAAATTTTATTTGAAACATGAATACAAAAGATATATGTACTTTAAACATGATTAGGTTTTTCAACTGAGCCTATATCTATAGACTATAGTCTATTGGGAATCGGAGAAGCATTGTTTTTGTCTAATTTTGACTACTGAAAAATATTGGCGAAAAAGGCAAAAAACACACTTTGCGAAGTATACTTCTTTATCCAGCTTTTTATAAAACAACAGGAAGTCTGCTAATTTATCCGATTCCTTTTAATAGGTGCAGCAAATCTAGAGAATATAATCAATGTGCCGTAAGTAACTTCGAAAGCATTTTAAATATATTTCCAGAAATCAAAAAGCGAGTATGGGTCAAATATTTAACTGTAGTTCTCATCTAAAAATATGAAATTTGAAGACATCCTAGACACTGGACTGTATGGTTGAATAAAGGCTGGTTTTCACAATGTAATATTTTGACAACAAAATTTTTTGACTTATTTTGACACAACTTTCTTTTCTTTATCCCTACCTTTATCGATGATATTATGGGCCGAAAACTTACAAGTAGCCGCCTTAGCAGCGCATGTACACGCCTGAAGGCCTATTCTGATCTAAATCAAACCAAAGACCATTTTTTAGTCCCATTTGACAATGAAGGCCTATTCTGATCTAAATCAAACCATTTCACTCATTTGACCGCAAATGCCACTGAATTTGACTTAGTGAAAATAAGCGTTAAAATTAATAGAAAAAAATTACGAAGCTAAGTAAAGTGTTAATTTTTCGTAGTGCCTGCTCTAAATTCAATGTAAAATGTTTAAGATAATACATAATATGGTTTTTTTTATGTCTTCCTTTTGACCACTTTTCTCTAGAATTGTTTATTCTTCAAAATGAAAGCGAAACTTCTCCCGTACCTACAAGTAAATATATTAGCACGGTAAAGGAAAAAAACTAATAATGCATCTGATCAAAAGATGATTGTACCTAAAATCTAGTGACTGTACCTAATGTACCTTTAAGTCATCAAACGTCGGAAAAAGGTACAATTGTACCTACTTTTTCATCCCTGATTGGCACTATCTTGTATTCTACAATTTTTGCTCCTGAATTTACGATAAAGGAAAATCCACTATTTACACCTACGAACGCGGAATCAACCTTCTCCTGGCAATGGGTTCTGAAAAAGATGGTATTTTCAAATCCATAATAGATTTTATAATTTCGACGGGAAAATATAACCGAGTTTTTTTGTATGGCGAGTGATGCACCCTAATGTACATACATATGCATTTGCGTATTTTTAGGCACATGCGTTTACTTAAATTTTCTTTACTCCTCTTCTTATCTAACCTTAATACATATTTAATATTTTTCTTAACTGTGAGAACATCTCACTTTGAAAGCCTACAGCCAACAACGAAGAGGTTATCATAAAAAGTGTACTCCATGAAATCCTTACATAAATTGCACATTGTAAAATGACTATTAAAAAATTACAGTAAGTTACTTTCAAACTTAATTTCATTGTTCCGATAAATTCTTATTTCTCTTAGGTTTGGGCACTGGATTCCAATCGAGATTAGAAGTTGTTGGCGATTGCTCTCTGTAGTCGTATTGCACCTCCTTCTTTACGGTACATTTCTTAAATATTTCATTATTGTTGAGTTTTTGTGGATCTTGTTCACTATCTTGACCACCATTCACATTTTCACTACCATCTTCAGCTGCGCCTGATGCCGACGCCGCCGCCGAAGTTGTGGGTGTATCCTCTTCTTGTCTACTCTCAGTCGTGGTAGCATTGCCGTTGAGTTTCGTCCTGCTTTGGACAATCGTTGCCTGCTTTTCAATCGTTGACTGACCACTAAATTTCCGTTTCGGCAAGGGCGTTCCGTTAGCGCTATTTGCATCAGTGGAGTGCATTTCGATCGTTGACTGTCCACTAAGTCTTCGTTGTGGCAAGGGTGTTCCGTTAGCGCTACCCGCGCCAGTGTTCGGACTAGTACCATCGTTTGGTATATCTTTGTGCGCAGAGGCATGCAACAAGCGTTGACTTCTATTGATGGACTCGATGATGTCCTTGACGGACTTGCGCTTTTCGGGCGGCACATTCTTTTCGAGAGGTGCCAGCGATGATTGCTTCCATTCCAGGTATGAAGAGGATGGTTTCGGCCGATACAATGACTCTAAGGCTTCCTCTCGCAGCTCTGTGGGTGATTGAGTACGATGCGCTGGTGTTGTGGTAGCGCTGGCAACTTTGTTGTCACTTGAAATGTGACTCGTCGCCTCATCTTTCTCAAGCAGATCTTCATGTGACTCTGTGATGGTCAACGAGAGTGAGGAAGTGATAGGTACTGCTACGTTTGATAATACCTGGCTATTATTTATTTGTTGTACTCTCGTCGACTCACTCTCTGTTTCCGTTGTTTTCACCACAGCTCCTTCTCTCTGTTTTACAATTGTGCTGTGACGCACGGGCGGTACCGGGCTCGTTGGCGGTTGTCTAATTTCTTTAACCACTATTTCTTTATGTTCGTCTGTTCTTGTGGATGCGATTCCCCTGGATGGTTTGTGAAACTCAGCTACATGTGGTTTGGCAGACACTGCGGGTTTCGTTGTAGTCGTTGGCGATTTTATAGCCTTTGGCGTTGTGACATCTTCTGTGATCCTTAAATCCTCTGTTTCGGGGAATTTCAAGGTTTCGGTATTTTGTAATGTTATCTTCGTCTTTTTTGTGGAGTCTCGGCGTTCTGCGGGTGGTGTGGTGAGTGTGAATGAAGTTTTCGTTGTAATCGGTTGCTGTTGTGTGGGTGAACGCGTTTGACTGCCGCGGAAACTTGACATCTGACTGGGTTCGACACGATCGGCGGCAACGGCGGCGGCTGCGGCACTTTGGTTTCCCATATGCACGTGTATGCATTCCAAGTGGCCAACTTCGGGTGTATTGTTACTGTTAAGTGGAGCTGAGATTTTCATTTCAGAGTTGTCCGTTTCCGAAAGCTCCTCCTTTTCTGGTGGCGCACTGTTGTCTGATTTCTGTTTCGTTTCTATGACACTGACGTCTTTTGTTTCTTCTGCCTTTAGGCTTGGACTCTGTGGCGTACTGTTGTGAACCGACCTAATGTCCCCATTTTGTGACGTAGACGTCGTGCTGGTAGAAACAACTTCCTGTGCCGCCTGCTTGTCTCTAGAAGGGGGTGATATAGGTTCGTCATCATTTGTTGTTTTTACAAAATCTTCAATAGCTGCCGTTAGATTTGCAATGTCCATGCATTCTTCGATCCGCAGTTCCGGAAGTGGTTGTGGATGCAATGATCCATTAAGACTAGAATCTGGTGAAGGTGCCGCTTTGTGTACCTGTTGGAAAAATAGAGATGTAAATAATGAACGTATTAAATTGAAAAATATTAGTTTTTTAAGGTGTTAGCAAGAATAAATAAAACTACAGAAACAAAGGACTAAACAGCACCCATATTGACTGCGGATGCCTCGTCAAGACGAGATACCTAACTTTTCGGGAATGAACTCTTTGCCTATTTTAGAATCAATGCGACAAAGAGCCTAATGAATACACGCCATGTTGAGTGGGCGGGTGCTTGGGTCTCGAGGACTTACTCAAAAATCTATTATAGTGTTAAACGAGTAACGCCGACTTTTTTCATCTGTGGTCGAATAGATCATCAATTAACAGTGTGGGAGATTTGCTTACCAAATTCCAAAGAACGATCACCATGTGCTGTAGGCAAGTTTTTCCAAAACCACCTGGGTCTGCTCTAGATGTGCAGTTAAACGTTTTAGGTTCAAATGAAATGGTGTTGATATGATGTTTGTGTGGATTGAGGTGGAAATCGATGTAGCCAGAGATCAAGGCGTTAGTGTTTTTTCAATGTCACAATGTCATAGGATAGTACGCTACGCCACAATTGCCTTTGCTGAAGAGCTTACACATTGTTGAATATTTTCTGATGACTCAAACAAAAGCAAAGTGAGGATCTGTAGTCTGTATAGAAGGCTACGGAAATTCCGAACCGAAATGTTTGCAATCCTCAAGGCCATTAATTCCATCGTGGAAAATAGGTGGAGATGTAGGAGTTTACGTATCTGTAATTTACAGCAAAGCTTCAATTCAGGCATTTGCCAGACTTCTAACCACTTCCATACTAGTTCGACAATGGAAGTCTCGAACTATTTAATTTTGCGCCAGGTTACTCGGAAGCACCCGCTAATGACACATCTAAGCGTTTCCTAGAGAAGGCTCAGACTAGGTATTACTTGGTCTGCAACAAGTCATAGCACTTTCACGTTCGACCTTTGAAGAAATCATCAAAAATTAGGTGAATGTTACACTTATAAATGACTGGGCGGCTTCCCAACCTTGCTCCCAGTCTTAGAAAATCTAGCTAGGTATTTGCTTTTATTGAGCAAACGGGACTGCAGGCAAACTCGTGGAATTACTGACTGGCCACTTCTTGTAGGCCAAACACCTGAAGGAACGAACGGTGATATAACCTTCCACTTGCGCTTAAATTTAATTTACCTTTCCTTCCTTTGCTATAGCTTCTCAAATATTGCAAAAACGCGATTTTTTGACATTTTGACCTCTTTTTTCTCAAAATCTGGAGCCGATGGAAATTTTATACTTACGGATTCGTAATCAGCACAAAAAAAGTCTATCAAAGACAGCTTTAACATCTTTTCTTTTTCTACTTCCGGGTATTAGCTAAGGATTTTTTTAGAAATATTTTAATTATGGAATAGGTCACCGATACTAAAAGCAATTTTTCTCGCAAGGGGCCCGTTCGCCGATTTTGGTTTTGATGGGAAAATATTCCTAGAGAAAGAGGCCTAATACTGCCTAAGCTCAGAAAGTGGGGACTTAAGGGGTCATTTGGGTGTTTGAAGACGATTTATAAATGATCAAGCAGTAAAATTCACAGACTCAATGCAACCGAAGCTGACCTTTATAAACAAGGTAATAATACCTGAAAGGGATATTTTAAAACATTAATCGCCATGTTCGGTGACGGAACTCAAGTTTGGTACACTGACGGTTCTAATTTGAGGATGGGAACACTGGGACCGGCGTGCATGGACCTAGATTTCAAAACAGCGTCTCGACGGGCATATACCCAACCCTATTCTTGGCGGAAACTATCGCAATTGAAGTTTATACCCACGAAAGTCTTCGCAAAATCTCTATTAGGGCAATAATAAACATCATGTCGGAGAAAACCATGTCAAAGGTAGTAGACAGTTGCAAAAAAGCTCTGGTACCACTAGGAATCAACAACCAGGCGATGAGGGCTTCGATTGCAACGAAATAACTGACACGCCACCGACATGCGGTGCTCGGCAGTCTGATCGGTCCTCAGCCTTTCTTTGATCCATCTGGAGGATATACAGGAGAGCTCCTAAGGGGATGGGAGGACTTGCAAGTTGCGATGCCGTACGACAAATGGCAAAAGGCAGTCCAAGAGTTTCATAACTGTCTCTCGTGCAATCTCTGAGCGGTTGGTAAATCTTAGTAGAACCAGTTTAAGAACTCGCCTCGCCTGGTACCTGACAGGGCACTGCAGACTGAGGTACCATCTAAACAATATGTAACTCTCTGAGGAGACGAACTGCAGGTTTTTTGGCTTGAGGAGGAAACCTCGGAGCATATACTATGCAATTGTTCGCTTATAGCTCACTTAGACTTAAAAACATTGGATAATATTATCATCTCCATCCATAATCTGAAACAAGGCAACCTCTAAAAAGCTTAATTTCATTAATAGCCTAAGGTTGGTGACTAGATAAGGCTTAGCACAATAGATCTAGCTAGGTCGCAAAGCTATATGCGATAATAATAATAATAATAATACACTAAAACTTGATGAAGAATAGCATATATATGGACGCGTTGTGAAACCACGCGGATCGTAAGAGCCCTCTTACTCAAACCAAAGTGTGGAGTAAGCGAAACTTGATAGTTACCGTACTCTTACATTAGCTGTGCCGGTTAAACACTTCTTTACTCCATGAAATTTCTTCTTTTTCTACAGAGTGCGGAGTATTCCCATAAAGGTACCCCAAGCTTTTTGGTTATTCTTCATTTCCATGGCTTTTGCAGAGGTATTTATGGGGCACCCGCAACCTCTCCTTGGGATGCATGAGGAAATAATCTTCAACCGCATGCAACAAGCCTTGCGCATTACACAAAGATGGTTTGATCCCAAAGCATTGTGCATTAATTCCAAAAAAAACTATTCTGGTTCCGTTTTGCCGGAGCAGAAAGTTATCCATGATTGAACCTTCTCTGTAAGGTATTAGAATATTTTTTTTTTTCAAATTAAGCAAAATACCTGGGGTGATTCTGGATAAGACACTCATCTGGAACGCATATTTGGATGCAGCGAATTTTTGGAAATAAAACAAAAAGCGAAGAACAAAGTAGCGGTACTGCTGAATACGCCACCTCTGTCTCTCTACATCATAACCATTTTCGAAGCAGAGATTCATGCAATAGAGATCTGTGACAGAGAATGCCTCAGAAGAGGCACAGCTTCTAAGATCATCTGCATTATATCGAACAGTCAGGCTGCCATTGTTAACGCAAAAATCGCGGACCAACGGAGCCACCACAGTATTCCATGGCCCTAAACTTACAAGGGAGGCCATAAAAAAGTGGGTGCACAAATAATTCCACAGGAAAATGAGTCAGTGTACAGGGCAAGTACAAGCTAAGCAGTTTATTTGTCCATCAAAAGAAGCTTCAAAAAAGCTCATTAATTTAGGCAAGAAGAACCTTTAAACTGCTATTGGGTACTTCAGCGGGCATTGCTTCCTGCATTACGAGTATCACCTTACTATATATAATGAGCAGGGAACGGACTTTTAGGACCTAAAAACCTATAAAAAAGGCAAAATAAAATAACGAAATAGGCTGGAAAAGGCAAAATAAAATAGTGAAAAAGGCAGGAAAAGGCACTAGGTGTTGCAAAAAGGCAAAAAAGGCAAAACAAAATAGCGAAAAAGGCAGGAAAAGGCACTAAAAAAAGACAGAAAATACGAAGAACAATCAAAAAATACATTTATATTAGAAATGTGTATATTACAAGTAAAAAGAGAAAAACTATGAACTAATTTCATTATATGAAAAATTTGTACTTTGAATCTTTGACTATTTTATCCTTTCGAGTTTCTAACTCATAAAACTTTAATCTGTATAGTTCTAGTAACATTGAACCACAAGATGCATTTTGAAGTTTTCTGGCAGCATTTTCATTCGATTTTCGCGAAGAAAAGCCTTGAATGTACTAAATGTGTGCTCGACTTAAGTTGATACAAGCGGCGCCCAATTTAAACATGGAACGTTTGAAACGTCCATATTATCAGGAATAAGGGCGTTTTCCTCGCCCTTTACAATTTTATCCACACCCCTTATTGTCTCCAAGCCTTCGTTAGCTGAGAAAACGGCTTTGAATTTTTCCAACACCAATTTGGCAAGAGGTCTCTGCGCTTCTATAAGCCGCATGGGCAATGTGTATATTTTTTAATCTTAAAAAAAAATTGTAAATGCTATAATCACTTTTTTAAAGGTAGAAAAGGCAAAAAAAGGCAAATATCTTAAAAAAGGCAAAAAAAGGCAACATCAAATGTGTATATATGGAATCAGGGAAAGCTAAATCGTGGACATTCTTAATCGAATATACTCTATTTCTTTCACACACGAGCGTCTGCCGCTTCTGTGAGCAGGACGAAGAAACGCCAGAACACATTCTTGGTGAACGTTTTGCTTTCAATAGACCTAGACTCGCTCACCTGGGTGATATAACACTTAATCCGTTCGAAATATGGGACAAAAAGCCCAGGGAAGTGCTAGCCTACATTTAAAGCCTTCACTTATGGGATAAAAGGCCACTCACAATGGATCACCTTAGAAGTTGAGGCGCTTATGGCCCACTGATGCCAGACATTCTCCGTTAAAAATCCCTCGAAAATCGGGGAAAAGCCTCTCAATTACCCGCATCTTAAAAATTTATCCCACAAAATTCCCAATGAATTCAAAACATATAAATATTTCAGTGGTAAAGAAGTAACATTCATTTAAAATAATAATAGTAGATTGGCGTTTACACATATATTAGTGTTTGGCCGACTTCTTCTCCGATTTGGCCCTCGGAGGTTTTCCATTGCCAGCCGAGGGGCGAGCGCTGTTAAGAAAAAACCTTTTTTCAAAATTTTTTCGATGTTGCTTTGACCAGGGCTTGAACCCAGGCCCTGCGGAGTGGAATCGCGCACTGCTTACCACTACACCACGATTAATTACGCAAGAGTGTCGAATTACGTAATACGATGCTTCCACGATTCGTAATTCGCTCTCTAAGTAATTAGTTAGGTAATACGTGAATTACCCTGTTTCCGCGACACACATTAGTAATTCGTTTGGCAGCTCTAGTTCTTGTTCTTCGCTATTTATTATTATTTTTGTGTACTGCAAATATCGAAGGAGGTGCTAAAATTTAAGTTGTCATCAACAATTTTAATTTATATAGAGAATATTTTATTACTATTATTCTATAACTAGAAAAAGTGCCAGCAAATGGGTCCAGGTCGGTGAAAACTTCGATATATTTCCGATAAATATTAGAGAACGCACCGATTCTTTCGACATTCGCATGGTAATTCGTTCTGAGTTACCTACAAATGAGGTAATTTGCTCGCAAAATTTTGTATGGCGAATTACGTAATTCGGAAGGTAATTGGCAAGGTGAATGACGAATGGTAGAGCGAATTACGAAGTAGAGAGCGAATTAGGAATCGTAGAAATGTCGTATAAGAGTGTCGAATATTCTTGAATTTTGATCATTTATGCATCGATAACTGTGTCAATAGAAAATCCTTTTTTTATTTAAAATATCCCTTTTTTCCCCTTTTAATAATTTTTGGCATCACTGTTATGGCCCATAATAATATGTAACGCCCAAGACTGGGTTCCTGAAGACATAGTAGCGTTGGAAAATACATAACGAAACAGCTAAAAGACTTTTCTAATGATAAAATAGGCCATATAACTAATACATACAAACAATTGTAAGTGAGCCAAAAAAGGTTAAACTAAATTGCATGGAAAGTGACTTTCCTACCCTCCCCAGTTTCTCAAAAAAAAAAAAAAAAAAAAAAAAAAAAAAAAAAAAAAAAAAAAAAAAAAAAAAAAAAAACATAAAAATAAAAATACAGTATGGCAGTTGTAACTCCTGGCACACCTTTAACATAACTCATTTGTAAAAATTACCCGTTTATTTTTTGTGATATTATGGAGCGCTATGTAAGCTTTTACTTACCCCCACAGCTGGCGGTGCTGGTGCACGACGTTTTTTGCGGTGCATTCGTTGTTGCTTTATGGGTGTCGAAGTTATCATCTGTCTATCACCAGCCAGCGAAACATCTTCATTATTTTCTTCCTCATCATCGTCGGTATCAAATGGATTTGTGCTTGCCATACTAATTTGCGATGATCTAATTGAGTGTTTGTAAAAAAAAATAATAGAAAAAAAGGTACGAATGTAGATACCAAAATTGAGAGAAAAAAGGAAAAAATAAGTTACAATTAACACTTTCACACAAATGCAACATTTGTAATATGGAAATGTGTATCTAAACTTAAGAAGATAAATATTGTAGTATTGAATTAGGTAAACCAGTTTAGATATATACATACATACATTTGTTGGTGGGGTGAGACACAAAATCGGTTGACTAATAACGCGTTACCCATGAGAATAAATGGAGACGTACATGTCAAGAAATAGTTTATTACATATACATATATACTCATTAGGGTGCAGCACCAAAAAGATATTAAGGTTTAAGTGAGCTAGACGGGTTCGAAAACACCTCCAAAAATATTATTATTTTGATTTCGTTGATAAAATCTTTAATTTCAAATTTTATGCGCCCCCTAAACTCTTTTATCATCTGAGGTGATTTTTCATAAAAAAATATTTTTAAAAATATATTGTATATAAAAGACAGAATTTCTGGAGGTATTTGCAAATAAGTCCAGCCCACGTAAGTCTTAACATTTTCCGAAATACTTTGGCGGAACTCTTAAAATACAATAAATTTTATATTTCTTATGGAAAAACAGTACCGTTTTTTTGTATGGACTGTGATGCACCCTAATGTACATACATAAGTATCTATACAAATCTGTGTACATTTGCACATAGTGCAAATCGGATTGAAACGTAGCTAAATATGTGCGTATGTGCATTAAAAACTTAATATATTTACACATGGTCATAGGTGAATAAAGTACACAATAGGTACAAGCAAATATAAATAACCGTAAACCGCTCTTAGACATTTAAAACACATTTATTTTATTACTTTTGATTGAAATTAAAGTTTAAACCATTACCATTGGAATAACCAAAACAAAATAATTCGCACCAAAACGCAACGCAACGCAACGAAATATAAGGTGAACTCACCCATTTGATAGACTAACAACGCCTGACCCGATATTAGAATTACGCAGTGGCTGTGGCGTCACAGATCCACCGTACACATACCTTCTTGGTTGTGGCACCGGTGTTGTGCGTAAACTCGTATTGTTATTGTTGTAGTTGGTTTTGGATTTTGTGCCCATCACCTGTATGGTACTTCGATACTGATTATTCCGATTGAAATCCAATTGTGAGCCGGTATTATTCTGGAAAAGAAATGGATTGATTTCTAAGCGATGTATGTCAAACCGATTAGACATTAAAAATATCTTAAACGAAATCTGATTTTTAGTACAAAACTATTTTTAATCTTAGTCTTAGTCCTAGTCCTAACCTTAATCTCAATTTTAATCTTAATCTTAATCTTAGTCCTAGTCCTAACCTCAATCTCAATCTTGATCTTTATCTTAATATAAATTTTAGTTTTAATCTTAATCTTTAATTCAATCCTGATCTTATTCTTAAAATTAATCTCAATCTTAATATTAATCTTAATCTTTCACTGTATCTTAATAATCTTAATCTTCATCTTAAACATAAACTTAATCTTAATTTTAATCTTGATCTTAATCTTAGTCTTTACCTTAATCACAATCTTAATCTTAAGCTTAATCTTAATTTTAGTCTAAATCTTAATTTAAATTTTTCATCTTCTCTAATTCTGTGGTTTTTCGTTTCATCGAAGTTCGGGTTTATAGCCAACCGAGTGGAAAGAAGTTTTACTTAAAATTTTTTTTTATGTGTTTATAAGCGCGGCTACATATAATTTCCATTTCTTTCATAAATTTTTCGTAATATAAATTTGTCCACGCCCCTCGGTAAGACGAGGTGAGTACAGCAATAATAAAACTTAAGAGCAATAAAGCCCCGCCGACTGGCTAAGGCGGAGTCGTTCAAAGCCGGCAGCGGAGAGTTAGTAAGCCGCATGCAACGCTGTTAAGCAGAAATGGGTCTGATGAATCCATGCCCGAAGATCGGAAGCTCCTGTGCCCTTTTTCCAATCCCCAAGAAAAAAGATCCTGCTGCTTTCCCCAATTACTGCCAGAATAAACATTCTTAACGTCGTTTATAAGATTCTATCGACGAAACTCTGAAACTCTTCATAAACCAATGTGGATTCAGACCAGGTAAATCCGCTATTGACCAGATTTTTACAGTGCGTCAAATCCTGGAAAGTACTCTTGATAATCAAATCGATGTTCAATACTTGTTCAACGATTTTAAAGTCGCTTTTGCTAGTTCGAAGAGAAGCTGCCTCTACGAAGACGTAGTACAGCTTTTAGTTCTGTTAATTTGGGAAGAACTCTCCAAACAAACTTTTTAGACAAGGTGACATTAACATCGTCGGTTTCACCTCCAAGGCCGTGGGAAATGGATTATTTCGAGCAAAGCGGAGAAGGTTAGTGAAGTTTCGAAAGAACAATATTGTACAAGATCTATAGCCCTTTTCGCGCAGGCGACGGATATCTAGGAAGCTAGTACGACCACGAAGTGACGAGGTTTTAATGAATACAGTTACACAAGCGAAGCAAAATACAACGAAGGGTATGTTGTACACAAGGCATTCGTTTGAAGTAGTTTAAGTAAGTAGTCTGTGGTCAGAACTGGGAACTTTTGTGACTATTTCTCTATTGTTAAAAAGGTATCCAAAGGGTATCCTAAGAGCAAAGAGACATTACCGCTCTCCAGTCGTTCCTACAACGATCGGGCTAGGATTGTCACTTCATCTCAAATTTCTAAAAAGCGGCTTGGAGAACGTTTCTTCCATTAAAACAACAAAAACCGCTCTCCAGTACCCAATGCGAGTTAACCAACTCTCAAATCAGAAGTTTGGTAGAGCGCGAGAGGAAATCGAATAGGTCAGAGGATGAAGACTGAGTTGTTTGCCGCTAAGTCCTTTAGTCTCTCCATGCAATTGTAAATCAATGCAGACTTGATTTTATAGTCAAAGAAGGGCCTTAAGTGCGATCTTAATCACTTAATATTCTGATCTTTTCGGTGCGATACTTTCGCTAAAGATTGATCTCTGCACATAGACTGATGGCATGAACATCCGCTTGAAATATATTTGAAGGTCTCTCCGTGGGAACTTCAAAGCCCTCGAGTGGTTGTTTTTTAGTTTTTGTACCAAATTAGAAGGAGTTTTTCTTGATATTTGCGTCGCTCCAGCTTGCCTTATTGCCTAGTTCTACTTGAAGTTCCTTTCGTAGCTAATAAATGTGCACATATATTTCCGTGGAAATTGGGTCAGGGATAGCTGAGTTCTTAAGGATTCCATATTTCGAGATGTAACCACTTTCTCTTTTCCACAACTCTCCCTGGTCAAGTTTATCAGATATCGTTTGGCTGCCTGCTCTATGCAATGACATGAGCTCGAGACTTACCTCCATTTGTGCCGTGGGCAAAGTCTACATTACGCAAGTAATACATAGACACGCAACATGTTACAGTTTTGCCAGTGAGCGCCTCAGATTCGCTAGGTTGACTTTCTTAGTATACATCCAACTGAGTATCGGAGGGCTGCAGCCATAAGATTTCATCCAGATAATAAACTTCATCAAACTATTAACAAAAGTTTCTCCAAAGACCAAACTAGCGATTGGTTTGTTCACATTGCAATATATATTTTCACTTTAACAGCCACTTAGCCGAAAAATGCCACCGATGTTTAAGAAGGAGAAGAGAGTGATCTCCTAATTTCAATGGCATTTTTTTAACAATTTGGAACGTATATTTGGGAAATATGAATGCAAGGTTTGATTGCTTGAAAGGAAACCCGTCATCGTCATCATTTATAAGAATTGAAGGACTGATCGGTCCACACATGGTTGCCGAATATTCGCAAAGAACGACCTTATTGTCCGGACTTGAAAATATGGCTCAGAGCAAACACGTTTTCTATTGGATATATCGTGGAAGAAATGGGTGATATATAAGTAGCACTTGTATTTCGTTATCAAATAGTCTGAGGCTATAATTCACATTATTAGCTTAAGTTTACCAAAATTTTGATTTTAAATTAATTTATCTTTTAATTAGAAAAGGTTCATATATCCTACCTTTGCATGAGCCACATTCTGTAGTGAACTTCTGTAGCCCGCATTTCGCTGGAAATTATCAATGCTACCTGCTGGTGTCGAATAACGAGTTTTGTAATCCGGCAGACTGAGATCATTTCCATTCTCCGAACTGTAGAGGTCACGTCGTAGTGCTGGTGGACTTTCAGATGTTTTGTTTATGCCCAGTGTGGAAGACTTCTTTTTGAGACGAAATGACTTAAAAGCCCTGAGAATTTATGTAGATAAAAAAGTATTGTAAATGTATTTAACGAATTTGCGAAGAATAGAAAAAAACTAAAAGGAACATGTACTCAGTTTAAGAAATTGAAAAAATAACGAAGAAAAGCTATCTAGAAGGTAGAATAACTAATTGGACATTCGTAGGAACATTGGTTTTTTTTGTTTATTTATGACAGGGCATTTTCTTATTCTAATTCGGATTTTTGCAGTGACCGAAAATAAAAATTATAATTTTTTTTTTTTTAATTTAGACTAAAAAACTTACACCGAAGAGAAATGCTGCGTCACAAGGAGTAAACCATGATATAAATATTTTTATCATGGAGTAAACCAACATAATTGTTATTAAAAAAATCAAGTTTAATAGTTGATTTCTTGAGTTGTACTTATTGCTTGAAAAATAATCGTTATTTTGTGCTCGGAAAATAAAACATAATTTTTCGTTTTTTAAGACATTTGACATAACTCTCCTGTCCTGAAAGTAGTCAAAACGGTTGAATATGAAGATGACGTGTTCGTTTTCGTATTCATGATCGCCTTCATGGCAATATTCGTATTCGTCTTCCTCTTCGCACTCGTCTTCGTGTTCATATTCGTTTTCTTTGTCGATTTTGTATTCGTCTTCGTCCTCGTCCTCGAACTCGTCTGCGTTTCCGCGTTCGTCTTTTTATCCGTTTTTATGTTCGTCTTCGTATTCATGATCGCATTCGTGGCTATATTCATATTCAGCTTCCTCTTCGTTTTCATATTATATTTCTTCGTCGTATCTTATTCGTCCTCACCTTCGTCTCCGTGTACATCTTCATGTTCGCTTTGGTGTTCGAATTTGAATTTATCTTCGTGGTTGTCTTCGCCTTTGGATTTGTCCTTAACATTAAGAATGCCGTATATTTACTTTTAATGATATTTAGTTGACGACTTTCAGCTCGCTACCCTCCTCAAGGAAAACACAAGAAGAAGCTACTTTTGCTTTTTGAGTCTTATTTTGTGAACAAAACATAAAACTCAAAAAATTACTTTTAATTTCTAAACAAAAAATAAAACTAAAAAAATATCGATTATTTTCCGAGAAAAAATAAAACTCAAAAATGACTATTATTGTTCAAACAAAAATTAAAAAAACTAAAAAATAACTAAGCACTAAATAAAATTCAGTAAATAATCATTAAAAAGTATAACGTTTTCAAGCAATAAATTTTTAAAATTCAAAACTCAAACTCACACACACATTTTCAACAATTTGAACAATTTCACTTTTTTATTCTCAATGTTATATGATTAAAAAAAAAAAAATCATGGCCGACGAATTGAGAGAATGATTTTACCTTGTAATTTTTGTATCATGGTTATAACTAGGGATGGCAAAATTAAATAAAATAATCGATTAATTAAGCATATGAATAATTACAAGCCAAAATAAATTAATTGCAATTATTCACCCTCATTGCGCGAGTCATGTCGAATGCAAGTCGTTTTTCGAGAGTCGAATCGTATCGAAAATTTCACGTCATTGCCTAAAATTTCCACTCGACTAGTGTATTAAAACGGAAAAACTTGGCAGCACTGTACAATTTTCGACAATTTTCGTCGTTTATTTATTTCAGCACGACAGTAGACAATGCCAATGTTGTCGAGTCGTACAATTTAGCCTAATTTGCGACTTACACAATGAGGCTGATTGAGAAATTATCGATTAATCGAATTTTTAAAGGCACTCTTTTACAGTGAGTATTCACCAAAACACTTTTCCATAAAAAATTTCGAATTCTCTTGTTAATTAACCCTCTAATAAAATAAAACCAGTATTTTGAGCAATTTTTTCGGCTGTTTGCAATTTTAGACAATTACAGAATTCATCTTTCTTGAAAATATTTTTACGATTATTTTACAATTAACCACAAAACTATTAACTATTAAACTGTAAATTGGACAAAAATAATTGCTGCCATCCCTAGTTATAACGTTACGGTACCTGGATTTTTGTTTTACACTATATCTACTCACCACACATCTTTGAGACCACTCAGTGAAAAACTATTTCGACGACTTCCGCTGCCATTCGATTTATTTATCTTCCAAAACCGCAAGCGCTTGTGTTGCTCATCCTCATAGAATGGATTTAGGTGTTCGGGATAGTTATAGATGGATACCTGACTTGTGGAGCGACCATTCCGCATTACAAAAACATCGCCGTTCAAGCTAGTCATATTCACGGCAATATGATGCCTGGTTTAATATCTGAAAAAAAAAGCATAAGCAAAAAAATTATGCAGTCGAATTTAATAGCTATGAATTGAAGGTTTGTCGATTTATGTGTTTTTGTTGGCGAACACTTTGTGGCAGCAATTGTATGTGTGCAGTTTTGCATGTAATAAAAACCGTTAAAACGAGTTTTGGGTATATATAAATTAGGACGGGTAAATTTAGTTTTTGCGACATACTTCCTAGCAGTTCCGGATTCTGCATATAATTCTCTGAAAAAAGTCCAGTAGAGCATTGCTCTAAAGTCAACTTCAAGTCTCCCAAATTTAAAAAATCCATCTTTAATTAAGGTCATAAGTTGGAGGAAGACGGAACACAAATGTTTACATTAGATTTTTCACACTGCCCTTTAGAATTTGTTGGAAAATTGTAGGTAGCCAGTGACAGAAATCTCTATCAGTCTTGCCTCTCAAATGATTTGTCAAATGATAGTCACTGCTCTTGCAGGGTTAGTTTCCATTACACAATTCTTGTATATATATGTAGATTAATATTTACTAAAGTGTTGTGAATGTTATTTTTCTAATACAAATTTGTACTTGGAGGTTGTTTGATAGGAAGAATATGCTTCTGATATCAATTTCGTCCTTCAATAACCTTCCTGAAATATTTTTTCGGCAGTAAAATTTTTAAGATGTATGTATATATGCCTTGTGACTATGCAATTTTTTTACATGTACAGTTTATTAAAACTAACTAAAACTGAAAAAAATGATTAAATTCTACAGTATGTATTTAAAAAATATAATTTATTTAATTATTCAACTTAAATATATTAAGCTTCAAATAGCTTACAACTATAAAAATAGTTCTATAATTTGGCGGACTCGAACACATAAAGCAATGAAACTTTAAAGCTATGCTCTAATGGACTTTTTTATTAGAACGATGCCGCAAAAGCTCCTTTCATACAAATTAATCCGCACTTATGTACACACTATATTCATACCCGAGCGCACATGTGCACAAGGGTATTATAATTTTGTTTACATAACGGTTGTTTGTAACATCCAAAACCAATCGATATAGACAAATGTATACATAGATGATCAGAATGAAAAGAGAACTCGATTAAACCATGTCTGTCTGTCCGCCCGTCCGTCCGTGTACACGAAAACTCAAGCAAAAATTGAGATATCTCAACGAAATTTGATATGTATGGTTGCTCTTTACCCGAGGTAGGTTGGTATAGAAAATGGCCAAATTCGGACTGTAATCCCGCCCACTTTCCATATAACGGTAATTTCGAAAAATGTAAAAACTACGATATTTCAGTAAATATTCAATCGAAATTGTTGAAAATTAGTATGTGAAGTGGAATTATGGTAAAAACTAAAATTAATATAAAATTTTTGGAAAATGGGCGTGACCTCGCCCACTTATGATAAAATGCTGTATCTCTGTAGCCGCTTCACCAATCTATACCAAACTCGGTTCGAGCGTTGCTTAGGGTCCAACTAAGAAATCTGTTGAAAATCTTTGAAATCGGACGATAACCACGCCCTCCTCCCAAATAACGGTAATTTACAGAAACACGAAAACTGCGATAAATCAGTAGTTATTGAACCTAATTCACTCAAAATCGACGGTTGCAATAATCACTTAGCACAAAATTTTATTATTATAAATTTTTGGACAATGGGCGTGACTCCGCCTACTTATGACCACAAATATGTACCACGGTGACCGATTCATCAAAATCAACTAAAATTGGTGCACCTTGTAATCTCGGTACGGAAAAGCAATTTGTTGAAAATTATTCAAATCGACTAAAATTATACCACCTTCCCGTATAACGGTAAATTTCAAAAATACGAAAACTCCAATATTTCAAAAACTGAGGACACTAATTAACTCCAAATTAATACTAATTGGGCGTGGCACCGCCCACTTTATGTCTAAAAAGGTCGATCTCGATAATCGCTTTATCGATTTCTACCAAACTTGATTCAATGATTTTATTAAGTCAGGAAAAACACCCCTGCTTATCATGCAAAGGTAGTTGAGAGAAACGACGATATTGGATAACTGCGCCGGGTATGTGTATTAAATATTGAGTTTTTTAAGCCATATTTGCTACACGGTAGAAGAGACCGCATATATTTAGCGAACAAGGATTTTGTTTTTAAAATTATCGCCACCATTTTCACTGTATTTAGCAGAGCTGCTAACCGCTCCAAAAATCGATGCGGTTCGGTTCCCTGGTTTGAACCACTTATAAACAGCTTGTACCAGAACACCCGTTCGTTAGTATCCCTGAACCGCGGGTCTGTTCGCCAAAAAGAGGTAAGCGATATTTTTTGTTTTCAAAAAAGCAAAATTTCCTCATAACATTTTAACCTTCCAACTTCCTTAAAGTAAGGGTCAAAAAGGCGTATTGTAGTCGGAGTTAACGGGTTAAAAATGTTTTGCGAAAAATGTGTCTTTAAATTTTAACATGTCTCTTCCAAGACAAGAATTAAGTTCGAAGCTAATTCGTCATCACAAAGTAGAAAATTTAAACTACTGTAAAAGAAAATTGTATGGATAATACAGTTTGAACATCCTTTGGCTGATGCACTTAATACTTGACAAAAAAGATAAAATTGTTCCACAGTGCAATAATGAGTTTCCTTCTCATCATGCAAATTGTTTTCTGCTGACTGCAATATTAAAGAAATTACAGTATTAAGGTCATTCAATTCAATATGTAAATAAACAATTTATATCTATTAAAAAAATACACATATGTACATACGTATGTAGTTTTGTAAATTTTGTGCTATGTTTACTAAAAATATATAATTCTTTCTCATATTCGGTATTGCTTTTGTTATTGAAATATTGAGGTTACCGTATTTCTAGGAATTTGCACCCGAAAATTATATCCATATGTTTTTTTTTATGTACAAACGTTACACATACATATGTATGTACGTACCGACATGCGAGTGTAGTGGTAGAGTGGTAGAGAAAATTTTAATTGCTCACTGCTCCTGAATTGCTATCAATATTTAAACTACTATTACGTTCGCTTGCTTTAGCCTTTTCTGCTAACGCTTATTAATTAAATACATACATACATATGAACATAAATATGTGGTGTGTATAGGTATAAGTTCATATATTTTTTGTGTTCATATCTTTTTCTTGCCGCCCAATTAAAGTTGTGGCTACATATGTATTTGCCTGCAAAACTTATGCAATTTTGTTTGATGTACAAATAAAGTAAAAAGTGTGAAAACAAAGTAAACAAAATTGAAAGAAACTGCAGAAAAAAAAAAACGATTACAAAAGTGTGATAAGATTCTAAATGTGTTGTCTTTGTGCAAAAAATTTGTGTTCAACTTCCATGTACACTCTTTGTATGCCAAGAGTACAATAAACAAAATTATACCTATGTACATATGTATGTACAAACATCCAAATACATATGTATGTGTATATGTAAGTATATTATTTGAGTATTTATATACATACATAAATACAAGCAGCCAACACACAGACACCTAATGTCTATGCAATCTTGCCTCTTTACCTTATCAGCTGCACAATAACTACCTAACCTAAATAATTTTAAAGTAACTGATAAGTTATATCAATTTTCTTAGAAAGTAAAAATGCAATTGGTGCCTTCCGACCGCATATGCGGCTAAAATATGAAATCGGGAAACTTTATACGCGTACATATTTATGTATTTACATAAGTACCCACATATGTATTTAGCAAAAAAAAAAATGCACAGTAAAACTGCCAAAATCGATGTACAACTATCTATGTACATTAAGGTGGTCCAAAAAAAGTAGTCGGAATTTTAATGCTCTCACTCCCCAGGACTGTTCTATAACAAAAAAAGAAAAATTACCGCTGTTTTTTTTAATTTTGAAATCAAAAAATATTTAGAGATCGCTCAAGGTTTTTGCATGTATTTTATATGGGGAAAAAAAAACAATTTTTCGTAGAAATGTTATAGAATTCTTGAAAATCAATATTTTTTGATCGGAAAACTGTGTTTCCTCTCAGGGTACTTGCAATCATAATAACCAATTATTTGTTTTACCAGTTTTTAATATTAACCGTATTTTATGGGTCTCCCCATTGCATTTTTTGTGGTTTTTGGGGACGTATAAAAATATTTGCTGTGAAAAGAGGGTTAAATAAATGGGTATTATTATTGGAAGTCTCCTTCAGAGAAACACAGTTTTCCGATCGAAAAATATTGACTTTCAAGAAATGGTATCTACGAAAAATTTTTGTTCAGAATAAAGAAACGAGGGTATATTTTTTGGATATAAAACAATCGTAGAGGGTTAGAGCATTCAAATTCCGACTTTACTTTGGACCCCCCTAAGATACATACTTATGTACTAGGGTATTCGATTATTAGTTTTTTCCCAAAACTGATTTTCGAGTCATTTTAAAATTTGCAATTAAAAGAAACCGGTTCCCAATTTTTAAATTAAGAAAAAACCAGATAAACCGGGTTTAATTAAGTAAGTTGTTGATTGAATTTAATATTAATTATTATGGTTGTTGTAGGCTAGTCGATCGATTGTGTTTGTGTGCAAGAAAAATACTTTTTTGTTCACGTTTTGCACAACGTCTCCATAATCACCTTAGCATCCTCAGGGGCGAATCTTTATTTAAATAACAACAAGAAGAGAATTATTTTACATAGTTTGCATACGGTGAAAATGCTTACGTTGGTTTGAAGTCATGACCTAAAATTAAAATAAAATTATTAACAGGAAATATAGCTTTTATTTAGAAACGTTTTTTTTTAGATGAAAAGTGAAACAAACAAAAATCAGTAAAAAATCACTTTTGGATTATTTCCCCTATTTTGCAAGCTTTTTTTAATACTATATTGCATTTTTCGGATTGGATTTGATTAGTGCCCTTGCTGCCATAGCCGAGTGCTTAGATGTGTCTACTGCTACACGGCAGGTCCATAGTTGAATTTCTAGTCCCAGCAACATCAAAAAGAGCTTTTTCAAATAGCGGTCGTCCCTGGCAGATAATGGCA